ATTGTGAGATCAACCTTGACGGTAGTCTGTATGTCAGAACTTGACCACCAAATTGTGAGATCAACCTTGACTGTAGTCTGTATTTCAGTACTTGACTATAAAGTTGAAAGATCAACCTTGACTGTAGTCTGTGTGTCAGTACTTGACCACCAAGTTGTGAGATCAACCTTGACTGTAGTCTGTATTTCAGTACTTGACTTTAAAGTTGAAAGATCAACCTGGACTGTAGTCTTTGTGTCAGCTTGACTGTAGTCTGTGTGTCAGTACTTGACCACCAAGTTGTGAGATCAACCTTGACTGAAGTATGTATGTCAGAACCTGACCAGCAAGTTGTAGATCAACCTTGACTGTAGTCTGTATGTCAGAACTTGACCACGAAATTGTGAGATCAACCTTAACTGTAGTCTGTATGTCAGTACTTGACCACCAAGTTGTAAGATCAACCTTGACTGTAGTCTGTATTTCAGTACTTGACTATAAAGTTGAAAGATCAACCTGGACTGTAGTCTTTGTGTCAGTACTTGACCATCAAGTTGTGAGGTCATGTACTTGACCATCAAGTTGTGAGATCAACCTTAACTGTAGTCTGTATGTCAATACTTGACCATAAAGTTGTGAGATCAACTTTAACTGTAGTCTGTGTGTCAGTACTTGACCACCAAGTTGTGAGGGCAACCTTGACTGTAAGATTGATGTAAGTACTTGACCACCATGGTGTTGGATCAACATTGACCGTAGTCCGTATGTCAGTACATGACCATCAAGTTGTGAGATCAACCTTAACTGTAGTCTGTATGTCAATACTTGACCATAAAGTTGTGAGATCAACTTTAACTGTAGTCTGTGTGTCAGTACTTGACCATCAAGTTGTGAAATCAACCTGGACTGTAGTATTTGTGTCAGTACTTGACCATCAAGTTGTGAGGTCAACCTTGACTGTAAGACTGTTTGTAAGTACTTGACCACCAAGTTGTGAGGTCAACCTTGACTGTAAGATTGATGTAAGTACTTGACCACCATGGTGTGGGATCAACCTTGACCGTAGTCGGTATGTCAGTACGTGACCATCAAGTTGTGAGATCAACCTTAACTGTAGTCTGTATGTCAATACTTGACCATAAAGTTGTGAGATCAACTTTAACTGTAGGCTGTGTGTCAGTACTTGACTATAAAGTTGTAAGATCAACCTAGACTGTAGACTGTATGTCATTACTTGACAAAAGATCTTAACTATTCTAACACTCATTGCCTTCCACATAACATTTCTTTTATCTACGTGATGTATCTTTACATTTTCAGGTGATTATATGTGGTTAAATTTAGTTTTTATCTTGAAAAAGGTTTAAGGAAGAAACCCATACATTGATAAAAATGGCTTTTTAAAAAAGTATAGTTAATGTATAAAATCGCTGATAATTTTAGTGTATTTCATTTTCGCATACAATTATGAAAAATCAAATCATTTAATCAAATCTTGATAATATTCCACAAAGTAAAAAAGTGTTTGATGTGTGGTTGATAAAAACCTGTTCCACCTCACCAGGTATATTCAGACAAATCAGAGATATATATAAACATTTAAACGCCTTGTATACGTTTTTTAACCGGAGCAAAAAAGTCAAACTTCAAAGAAATATAAACAGATACAAACCAAGATGACATTTTACAGAGAAAAAATCTATATCTTCAAGAAACAATCACTTTACAGCACATTTTACAATCAAATCTTAAATCACATTATTGTCACTCTCTTTAGTGCTAAAACTGTTTTCCCTTGAACTTCTAACAAACCTTTAAGTAATGTTTCATAATTTAGAGAAACGAAATATCTTATAGAAATTTTGTCGAGAAATGCCATTTCCTATCAAACATCAATAGATACTGGGACATTTAATAGTGAATCGCTCAACACCAATAAAGATACTTGTTTTATCAGATTCGCTGTTCCATGGACTTCAAGGATGCATAAAAGTCATAATTTTAGATAAGTCTTGTTTGAAGGAAAGCCTTAAATCTCTTGAACACCTTGGACGCCCGCGTGATCATATAAAAACAATTATCATAAAATATTTGTCAGACTTTTCTAACTTCTATAATTCTCCACTTAACAGGCTGTAAATGCAAATAATGTCCCATTCGTGACGAGATGAGAGCTATAGCACAGCTCCTTATAAATACCTTTCAATGTTAAAACGGCCCGGCCCCTTCAATTCCTCTCATCTTTTCTTTCCCCAAATCCCTGCTCTGCCCATTAACGGTAGTTTGAATCCCAAATTAGCCGATGATGAATCTGCAGAAATCACCATTTCAAAGGTTCCAGTCACATCTCAGTCAGTTTGATGTTTACGTAAAATTTCCTGGGAAAATAGACAAGAAAAATCGTAAAAATTTCACATATACTCACCTTGGTAGACAGAAGACATATATTTCCCCCTAAAAGATGTGCTTCAATTGTACACCTGGTGTAACTGAGACACAGGTGGCTGGCTGAGGGGATAAAACTCCAGCACAACCCATTCAGGACAATATATTGAAGCTTTTACCATACCACAGCATACAGATGAGGTTTTTATTATCAATACAGACAAAACCACATAGCTGTTTAGTTGTATAATACCTTTGGCTACCTGTCCTCTATCCAGGTAAGTTGTTGATCTGTTGGCCAGAACACCCACCACTCATCCTACAAATCTACCAAGGTCAGAGAACTACCTTCAAGGTCAGACGATCTAACTGTAGCTACTCCAAACTTTTACTACAACTTTATAAAGGTATTAGAACTAAGTTAAAAGTTAAGACAGTGTGACTGGAGTCAACACACAACTCATACTACCAATCGAAAGTCATAGTACCTACTTCAAGGTCAAACAGCCTTACATATCAAGGTTTCAAGAATGTTCCCTAATTTAGGGGAAAACCTTAAGACTCTCCATGAGTAATCATTACAGAATTTTCCATAGATGAGAATTCTTTCTTAAATCCAATGGTAAAAATTTAACAGTGCCAGGAAGAAAAAGCTGATTAATTTGAGAATACAGGTAGATAAGCGTTGGCACCTACATGTACAGTCAAACCAAACACTTATAATTCTATTGTAATATTACTTCATTACTTTGTAGTGAAATGTTTCCTGTCTATTTGTTTAAGGAGTCTTTAGCTTTGCTATTTTTGTACCTGACATTCTTTAAAATTCAGACTCCAGGAATAATTAAAACATACAGTTTCACTGAGCGTATGGGCAGATTGGTTGAGTGGTTAACACTCTGGCCTTCCACGCAGGCGGCCAGGGTTCGATCCCTTAAGTCATCGTATGCATGGATATTCAGAGAAATTGTTTTTAACCTGACCACACAACTCCATGCTATTCTATAAAAGGTTGTTCTTTTACTATCACCATGCTGGCAAAAAAACAAAACAGTTTCCAATGCATAGTTAAAGTTTTGGCAGGCTACGAGGATCCTTAATTTTTGGGTTTTCGACTATTGGTTCAAGTAGTGTTTATGTCACACGAGTGTAAGTGTGGGTTTCTTCTTGTGTGAACAAATATGACAGTTTATTAAACATTCACATTGTGAACAGAGACAGTTCCCTTGCACTGTGGCGGTAACGCACACAGGCAATTCACATGCGACTAATCTAAGTCAAGGGTTGGTGTAGAGTGAATTAACTCACCTGGGCAGAGCCCAGGGTGAGGGTTTTCACATGCATGGACAGGGTCATAGGTCAAAGTGTCCCTCTCAGCCAATACTTGCACCCACCTCTCATACGTCACAATTATAACACAGGTACATTACCTGATACAGACATATATACCATTACACACGATACACAACACAAGTATTAACATGTGTACTCAAATTACATTGTATTTAAAATACATAATATAAAATACTAAACCTACTGGACAAACACTGTTAATAAGTTTGGCCACCGGTGTCCGTGACATTCTCCCCTGCAAAGGGAAATGACTCCTGGCATTAATCAAACTACAAACTACAAATTATAACCCTTAAGCTTAATCAAAATATCCATCTTGCCACCTTGGCCAGTATCCCCAGGTAACATAAACATGTACGTTATACACTTAAAAGAATCTCCCCACTGCCAGTGGAAACAATGCATTCCTGATATGAATATCAATCTTTTTAAAATAATTGAATGCGAGTTACAATTAAGCTACATAACTACATAATTTGATGGTAAACCCTAAGGTCAATACCCACCAGTAGCTGTAGAGATTGACCAATAGTTTCAAAATCAGTAGCAAGCTTTGTTCCCTATGACATTCTCCCACTGCTCCGACTTGCTATACAAAGACCTAGCTCAGCTGTAGAATCGGACAACACCAAGGTCCCCATGAGCCATTCTCCATATAAATTAGGAGGTTTACAGGCTCGTTTGGGCCTTACAGCTGCTGTGGATTCCGATCCTGTGTATGACCTACACTGCCTGCAGTGTTGGATTTTCCACAAACACCCTTATTCCCCTCCTCAGAGAATCCCCTGCACCAAAAGTGTTTGGTTGCACTGGCTGTCGCGTCTCAGCAGCAGTGTGTTTGGGCCTCCTAGCAGGAAAAATATACCTGGATGTTTGACTCCCATCCTCATCTGAGCTGGCAGAGTCAGTAATTGAGGAGAAACTCTCATCTAAGTCTATCTTGCTGATGATTTCGGGTTGTCTCCCTTGGTTCATGAGCACCTTCTTCCTTAGTCATGTCAATAGTTGGCACACAAAAGGGTTCCTTAGCCAATTTGTCAGCCAATTTTTGTTTGCCACGTATACCAACGTTCCTCATCAGAACCCGGTCACCAACCTCCAAGGTCCCTTCTCTAACCCCCCTATCGTACCTATCCTTGTACCACTTACTCTTCCTCCCGCTTTCAGCCGAGGCAGCTTAAATGTATGCAGAGTCTAACCGATGCTTAAGTTTCTGGGCGTAATTCTGTCGGCTCCCTACAGCCTCAGAACTGGTATTGATGCCTAAAAATGCATCTACACCAAGTCTTGGGTGCCAACCAAACATCAGGTAATGAGGAGAATATCCGGTTGTCTCATGCTTTGTTGCATTATAAGCATGTACAAGTGGAGCCACATAGGACTTCCAATTGGATTTATGTTCCTCCTCCATTAATATTGTACCTATCATTTTTAACAGGGCTTGGTTGAACCGTTCGACCATGGCATTGCCCATCGGATGGTAAGGGGTAGTTCTAGTTTTCTCGATCCACTCCAGCTATCTTGCAAAGTTCTTTAATAACTTTGCTTTCCAAATTCCTGCCCTGGTCACTGTGAATTCAGGCAGGAAAGCTGTAGTGGACAATAAAATGCTCATACAACACTCTGGCAGTGGTTCTCGCCAACTGGTTTCTGGTTGGAATTGCTTGGGAATAGCGGGTGAAATGGTCAGTAATAACCAGCATGTTCTTGTAGCCACCCTTTGACCTTTCCAAAGTCAAATAGTCAATGCAGAGTAGCTCCATTGGACGGGAACTTTGCATATTAACCAACTCTGCACTTGGGACAGCAGGAGTTTTTCTACGAACACACCTACCACAGCTTTCAACCCAACTATTTACCTCGGCATCAAGGCCTGGCCAGAAAAACCTATGCCTTGCCAACCAGCTTGTTCGGTCATGTCCCTGATGACCTACATCTTCATGCACTCCCCTGAGGACTTTCTTTCGATATCCCTTAGGAATAACTAGCTGCTGCACAGGATCACCGTCTACTGTGGTGTCTCTATCGAAGCACCCTTGTGTAGCCTCAGCAGCCGCCATTCCTGCATAAACCGACACACCTCCTCAGGTTCGTGTTGCATTAATTTTTTATCAGGTCGAATCCCCTCCCTGACAAACTCTATCACCCTCCTAAGATGTTTTTCTAAGGATTGGTGTTTTTCCCAATCCACACCAGAGAGTTTCACATTCCCTAATTCTAGGGTGTTGTTCTCCGGTTCTAGGGATGATGTATTTGAGAGTACTACAGTTTCTGCCAAAGGTAACTTCTCCCTAGTGGACAAACAAGCACAGGTAACTGCTCTCACTACATCTGGAAAAACTTCCTCTTGCCGATACGGTCGTCTTGACAACCCATCTGCATCCCCATTGAGACGGCCCGCTCTATAAACTTAGTTAAAGTTATAGTTTGAGAGTGAGGCTAACCACCTATGACTTGCTGCGTCCAGCTTCGCAGTGGTCGTCACATAGGTTAGAGGGTTGTTATCTGTATGTACCTCAAAAGTATTGCCATATAGGTAATCATGGAACTTGCCAGTGAGTGCCCATTTGAGACAAAGAAATTCCAACTTATGAGCTGGGTAGTTCTTTTCACTGGGACGTAAACCTCTACTGGCATATGCTATTACCCTTTCATGGCTACCTTGATTCTGGTACAGCACAGCTCCCAAACCTTCCACAGAGGCATCTGTATTAACAATGAAAGGCTTAGCAAAGTCTGCATATGCTAACACTGGTGGAGACGTAGAAAACTAACAATGGTGTCAAAAGCCTTCTGCTGACTGTCTCCCCATACCCAAGGAATGTTTTTCTTTGGTCCCTTCACAGTTTTGTGGGTACAGTGTCCCACAAAAAGATCATTTAAAGGTTTATGACTTTTGCATAATCCTTGATGAACCTCCTGGAGTACCCTGTGAACCCTAGAAAGGAGCGTAGCGTTTTAACATGGACAGGTTCGGGCCATGCCTTCAACGCTTCAAGTATTTCTGGGTCATTTTGAATTCCTTTCTCAGAAACAATGTGCCCCAAATAGCACACTTGAGACTTAAATAATTCACATTTGGAGGGTTTCAGCTTTAAGCCATGTTTTTCTAGCCGTTCAAACACACCCTCCAACCTTTTGTGGTGCTCCTCAAAGGTGTCAGAAAAAATGAGAATGTCATCTAAGAAGTTTAAACATTCCTTTAGATGGCTTTCTCCCATGCAGGCTTGCATCAATCAAAGTCGCTGGTACATCAGTTAAACCAAATGCCATGCGGTTACATTCAAAGAAACCTAGCGGGCCCACAGAAAAGGCTGTTCTGGCCTTGTCCTCTTCTTTGATCTCGACCTGCCAGTAACCAGACCTCAGGTCCAGTTTACTGAAGTATTTGGATCCAATAAGGGAGTCCATGGTTTCCTCCACCCTAGGAAGAGTATAGGCGTCCTTAATGGTTTTCCTATTGAGCTTACGCAGATCTATGCAAAACCTCAGGGATCCATCTTTTTTCCGAACAAGGATGCCGTTCGAGCAGTAGGGGCTGTGAGACTCTCTGATAACATCAGTCTAACATTTCCTTAAGATGTTGCCTCACCTCCTCATACATCCCTGGTGGAATGCAACTGTATGGTTCCCTAAATGG